AAACGTTCCATCTCCTCACCAATATTTCTACTTCCAGGGGCATATAATTCTAACCCCTCGATGTTTCTAGGATCTGCTGATTAACAAATTTTCCTTGCAACACACTCTTATTTTGTCATGCCGACCATTGTCTGCATGTTTAAATCCTTCACGCCTTTCAGCTTTTCAGACGTGAAGTCTAGCAATTAAAACCAATGTTTTTATGACACAAAAGAAAATATAGGAGGGTAAAATGCAATACAAATAGGTATGTTTCTGTGATTTGATTCCCTGATCAGAGTTATAAACAGCTTCGCCTTGGAGAGGGGATATCATCTTTCTTGGACAGGAACCAAGGTATGTACAGGAAATGTAAAAATCCAGGGAGGATATTTGAAAATTTTAGCTGAAGACAGTACAGCTAAAGACTCGTATTCCACTACGTTCTTTGGGTGGTGGTGCATGGTGCATGGTGCATGGTGCATGATGCATGGTGCATGGTGCATGGTGCATGGTGCATGGTGCATGGTGCATGGTGCATGGTGCATGGTGCATGGTGGTGCATGGTGCATGGTGGTGCATGGACGATCTAAGTTGGTGGTATGATTAGCCTAATTAATTACGTTAATAAATGAGACTTTGACCTGCGAAATACTGTAGCAAAAGAAGGACAATATTTGTTCGTTCTCTTTTCAAACGTTGAATCCTCTTACTATACTCAATTTCTAGGGTCATTTTGAATAATTATCGTATTTCCCACATTGGGACATGTATAAACAAGCATAAATTGTGCGATAAATAATTTAAGATTTTAAGCTTAGCTGGTTGTACAACAAACAGATACCAATCTTCAAATCTGAATCTTATGAGTCATTTTTAACTCGTAAATTGCGCATGTGCAACACGAGTTATCGTAGGTGGTGGAAAAATGCGGTCGCTCGATCGCTTGTTGGGCTGAAAACATTATGAAAATGAAGTACGCACACTCCTTACTTTTAAATTGCTGTCCCTCCTTAACTAAAATAAGTTGTTCTAAAGGGCTAAATTAGAAGATATAAACTTAAGAAGACTAGCCATTCAACAAGTGATCGGCAACACTCTCCAAGCTATGATAAGAGATACGATCTTTTAAAAGTTGCTCCTCAGTGGGAAAATGCGATTGCTCGATCGCCCGTTGGGCTGTAAACATTACGCAAATGAGTTACAATCGCTACTTACTTTTAAATTGTTGTCCATCCTTAAATAAGTTGTTCTGAAGGGCTAAATTACAAGATACAAGCTTAAAAAAGACTCGGCCATTCAACAAATGATCGGCAACACTCTCCAAACCATCACAGATGACACGATCCTTGAAAAGTTGTTGCTCTTGAATAATTTCACCATTTATTACAACAACCAAAACATCGTTAAACTTGTCGCAACTACTGAGAGAGTTATTCGCGAAAACTAGGTTTTTTCGCTATTTTTTGTCGTAGTTTATTGTTGCATTGTTTCAGCTCGCTTATATTTTTTCTGTCACTTTTGTCGGTGTTCACATGACAAATTCATGTAAAACATTTTCTTAGCGCGAAATAAATATTGTTTAGCTTGAAAAGGCTGACTTATTAACTTACTGTAGATCAGTATATCTTAACAATTGCCTTAGTATTGGTTGATTGAAGATTTGAGTGGGTACCGACAGTACCCCCTTCGTGTGGACTGGCAGGTCATTACGTGGAATAGTTATCGACTAGAGAAATATTTTATCATATCTCTTCAGCCAACAGAGTCAACGCGAAATCTGAACTACTGCTCGTCCTCTAAATATGACAGTAAACCACGAGACTCCCTAAACCATGCAGAGAACATTAAACATAATCCAAAAAATAATTTAAGTCATCTATCAATTCATGAGTTTGCTCACAGAGCACTTTGATTCACCCTTGTCTTTATTTCGTTAATCTCAGTAGCATATTTAACGAAAATGGACAAAAATTACTTTACTATTTAAAAATATAGCCAAATCAATCACAATGTTTGATTTTTTTTCCAAAATTTTCTTTCAAAGGAAAAACGAGCCAGAGGTGATATCGATGCAATTCTATATTGTTATGCACTGTATGCCTTAATTAAAATTTCATGAGTGTGAAAAAGATAAGCGTGCCCTTCTGGGTATGATGCTTCGAAGACACACCTTGAAAACAATAAAATCATCAATTGCAGCTGAATGTAATCAGGCATGTATTAATGATTAAATTCGCATTTGTAAAACTAGCATAATTACTAAAATCATAATACTTTCCGTTATTTTGCATATCATAGCGGTATCTGTTGGAGGTAAGAAGAGGGCTTGAGCTTCGTTCAAATTCAATCGAAAGTTTTGAATTTCTTAAGAGTCAAGATGGAATATTGAATAATTCATCCGAACTACTGCTTTTGTTGAAACGGTCATTTGCTTTCGAAAATTTGACATAAATTTACCATTCGAGACAACTTTATAAAGAACACCGCAACTAAAATTATGAACTTTCCTAAATAATTAAACAGCGCCATCATTTGGGTCAACAATAATACTGAATTGGAAATGTCTATGAAAGCGCCCATATAACATCTGATCTAGCCTGTGTTATGTGATATTCTAAATAACTAGACTTGACTTGAAAACTGTAGATTATCTCATCAAGTCCCCGAAATTCTCTCCATCAGTTGTGTCGGGAAACTGCCCTTATATTTCTATTTTCCTATGTTTTCCAACATAGTTTGAGGTCACACCAGTTAAAGAATTCTTACTCGTTGATCTGTATAGGATCCGCTCTTTCATAATTCTCTCCCGTAAAATACGCCTATTTTGTGTTATCACCCATTGTCTGTATGTACAAATTCTTGATATCTGCGAAAATTCAAAAAGGGAAAGATAGTTCTAAAATGTGAAGTAAACTAATATATCCCTTGTTTAGAAACCCACGAGAAAGTGGGACTCAATAATTAAGATACGCGACGTGTCTTCCTTTGTAATTTACCTCAAACTGGTGAAATGCAATACAAACAGTTACTTGTAAATTGATTCGCTGAACAAAGTTAGTGACACTTTCCACTAGAAGGAGCGCTATCACATCACTTGGATGGAAACCAAGGTTTGTACATGATTTCTAACGTTCCAAGTTAAATACTTCGAAAATTTATTTGAAGACATTACAGCTTTAGGCCTATATCTCCCTGCCGATTTGATTGGTAATTTATGTTCTCGCGCTGTTTAAACATTCAGTTCTTCTCATTTCAGGGAGCCTTTCAAGTTTTCCAAATTTATGGTTTTGAATTTTAGAGCTCTAAGGGAAATGACAGAATGACCCCTCGCTTTTATCATTATGAAGTTAACGTTTATCACTGATCTTACTTCCAGTCTTCCGCATGAGCGAGTACTGTCAGGACGTGTCTTTTCACACTGCCTACTCCTGATAATTTCTCTTTAACTTCTAATGCCGGACAAGGGAAAATCCCTTAAAAAGAGCAACGGAGAGCTGAAGAGGCAGCTCGAGCAGGCTAAAAAAGAGTTGAAGAACCTGAAGCAGCGAGTTATGAACCAAGAATGTATGGTAAGAAATGTCAATAGTGAAGAAGGCGCTGCGGCCATCTTCAATCCAGAAGCTGATGCGAGCCTTGAGTTTGTTAGTCAAGAGTTTGATGATACTAAGCTCCAGCTAATAAGAATTCGGGAATCCCTCGCCAACATCGAACAACGGCTTACCAATTTCGAGGAACGATTGCTAAACCTTGAATCTACATTCGATGACATTCCGAATCATAGTTATTCGTTCAACGTCAAAGTATTGGGTGTCCCAGAGTTGCTCTCTTTAGACCCATTAAAGATGCTCATCATTATAACACACGATCTTCTACCGCTGGTAACTTCTATATAAACTATTCTCGACTAAATCACTATAAGAATCCTTTTTACTCTATGGGCGCAAAAATTTGGAACTGTATTCCTGATGTTTTGACATAGCTCCCATAATATAGTTTCAAGAAAAAAATAACCGAATCCTTACTTCAAATCGTTCTAAACCAGGATTCTTATCCTTATATTGATATATTAATAAACGAAATGACAAGAAACTAGATTTTGTTAAAATAAAGAGTATTTTGAGCTTTTCCTATTTTTAATTATGTGCTCGTGGCTTCGTAATTAGTATACCTATATTTTTGTATTCACTTTTGTAATTAATATCTGTACCTTTGTAATTGTTATTTATTTTTTGGCATTAGAATAATATTATATTAATATGGAATTGACACCTTTCTCATTCTACCTGCCTCGATTAGCTTCGCTATACGGTAGGCAGTCTTTATTTATAAGTTAAATTGTGATTATAAATAAAGATGTTCTTGTTGTTAAAAAAAACTTCCCTGTCATTGGAAGCAATGGAGGACTGTGATTAAAAATTAACAATGTATCTTACTGTTTGAGATGACAATTTTCTCTTTTTTTTCGAAGAGAGATGGAGTCAAAAAAGGGAAACTTTTCTAATTAAAATTTCTCGCTTGCATTTGAATTAATTGCAAAGGTGTCTTAAGTTTTTGGTTTCAGCCGACTAAGCAGAAATGTACTGCTAAACTCCTTTGAACGAGATAAAATATGATACAGACAGAGAAGGTCATAGCATCCAAGGTTTACGACGCTTGCAATACTTCTGTTTTTTTTATTATTATTATCTTGTATCTTTTTATTTTCATAATAAGAACTTTCTGAAAAATATAAAAAAAATCCCACCATTGTATCACTTTTTCAATACTTCCTCCGAAAGGAAATAGAAGAGTCTGATTTTCTTTTGTCTTCAGTAATCACCTTGTAGAGGTTGAGGTCATGTAAGTCAGTTATGAACATCGATCTGGTGAATAACATATACCCCTTTACTGAATTACTATTCCAAATTTCTCTTACAGGAAGGAGAGAGCCGGTGGTAATGACGATCCGATTCTGCATTATAATTACACTGTGCTACTTCTATAGAGTTTTCGCTCAACAATGCGAAGTGGGTCAGCAAGCCATTTTTGGTATGATGCTTCGAAGACACACGTTCAGAACTATGAAAACAACGATTGCCGTTGAATGTAATCAGGCATGTAACAATGAATTCCGATGTCACAGCTTCAACTACGTCATTTCAAAGGAACTGTGTGAACTAAACAATCGGACAAAGGAGGCCAGACCAGAGAACTTTGTGCCAAATTCTGAAAGATATTATGTCAAGAGTATTAAGAAAAGAGGTGAGTTTTATTGAACAAAAGGCGTAAGCATTGAAGTTTACCACTACTGAACCACGATAGCTTTTCAATGGTAATAGGTAAAGCACCATGAATCAATAAACAAATATGAAATTACTTAACGCCAGAGAACCTTCCATATGTTTAAACCGATATCAAAGGTCGAAGGCCATTCTTGTCCCTTTGGAATCAGTATACAGAGAATAAAGTATCCTTTCTCGGGTTGCTTTTACTACTAATAGTATTATGTTTTGAGGTTGAGAGTTGAAGGCTAGTTCGCGACTAACAAAGGACCACACTTGACGCCATGTCAATTAACCTCAAAAACAGACCACGTGGTCTGAACCTTTTATTCAACTACGCATGCGTCACATGTATGTAACAGATAGCAATTTATTTATTTATTT